GTGTACTTCTGGAGGACTTTTCACTTGACCTCCCACCTCAAAGTGCCTCCCTCTGTCTGTCTCTCTCTCTCCCTTACCCCTGCACCCACCCAATGCTGCTCCGATTGGATTATATGCTCCAGTTCACCCCTTACCATAACTAACTGGAAACATGGTTAGGAACATCGGAACAGGAGGCAGCCACAAAAAAAATGGACAGGCACTGCGATGCTTGATAGTACTGACATCCAAATACAGTACAGTAGGCCCCTATTCCCTCAATCATTAACATTTTGCTTTGTAAGACTTGAAGGTAATGAAAAATGTATTTCATAGACCCTATGATTTATCTCCTGGATTTTTCCTCATGACAGCAACCAGGCCATTCATCTTTAATTCCTGGCAACTCCATGACAATCCTGGAAGAGTTGCCAAGTGTTAGCCTTACAAAATGCCTGCCGTGTTTACTTACTTTTTACTGCAATCCCCTCAAGAAGCACTTGAGAGAGCATGTCCAAAGTGTCCTGTAAATATTAATGTTTCCTTTTGTTCACGTCGGAATGTTTGGTTTGGGGCCCAGCGTCTTCTCCAAGTCGCTAACATTTCTCAGCCCAGAGGGAAAAATCAGTCATAAAAATTAAGTAATATTTGGAAACAAACATACTTGTCCTCCATTTTGAAGGATACAGGACAAATTGGACCAGCATATGTCTTTTGTTTCGTTCCTTCTGGGAAGCCTTGAAAGAAATCAATTCTTTATGATCAGTGGGCACAAACCAATTTGAACTGAATTAGGTGGGACACAATTGGAAGAGAGAGATCCAGAGGTTGCTAAGGAAATTGAGCGAAAATTAAATTGGATTGAGACGTCTGTGAGTTCCGGTTGGTGGTCTGTGGGTGGGGAGGTTGTGATCTTTCACTTTGTGAAAAACAAAGACGTCTTTTTAGGAATAAGATCTGTACACAATGAACTGAAACATGACTTTGAACCTGACGACAAAGAAAGAATCAGGCCAGGTGCCAAGTCAGCTTTCTGGCGCGTGACTTGTGATGTTTTATGAAAGTAAACTGGGGCAGCAAGGGACCTTCTGTGCATGAGGCCGGAAGGTTTCCTTCAGGACACAGTTTTCGCTGACACCTCTTGGCTGTAGCAGGTGCTCTTGAAAAATAGGTCCCTGTGGAAAATGTAATCCTTCCATGCAATGGAGCCAATTTAATAGCATATATGCTGTATAAAACAGGCCTGGGATAGACAAGCAGGAGAGAGGCATTGAAATATTATGTGATTTAGCAGGATTGACATCGTTGAATCATCATTTGCAAATGCTCACCCTGCAGATTTTAAATTCAGAAGTGCAAACAGAATATAAGTACATTGTCCAAACTTGAAATATTCAGCCCTGCTCTTCACCCTTCCATGGCTCACAATAGGATCATACCATAGTGTTCAATGAATTGAGGTCTGGATAATGAGATCAAGCCCTTTGAATAGGATTTCAGTTGCTAAGATTGTCCCTTTCAAATTGGACTCCAGATGGAGTGATCAACTTGCCAAGCCCTGACAAGTGGGACTTCCATTGTAATACACGTCTCAGTGTTGATTGGAACCGCTGCTGGACATCCACCTTCTCTCTTTAGGTAGACTTCCCTGTGGTGACTCCATACCCCATCCCATCACACCCCAATCTATTTAAATTCTTAATTGACTACCACGTTCTTCTGAGATACTAATGGAGTTTAGACTCGAATGGCACCAGAAACCAAACACCCAGCACAGAAACAATCGAAGGTAGAAGAGTTAGAACATAGAACAGTACAGCACAGTACAGGCCCCTACGGCCCACGATGTTGTGCCGACCTATTATCCTACTCTAAGGTCAAACTACCCTGCATACCCTACATTTTACTATCATCCATGTGCCTATCCAAGAGTCGCTTAAATGTCCCCAATATATCTGAATCCACTACCACTGCTGGCAGCTCATTCCACGCACCCACCACTCTCTGTGTAAGGAACCTACCTCTGACAATTCCCCATACCTTCCTCCAATCACCTTAAAATTATGCCCCCTCGTAATAGTCATTTCCACCCTGGGAAAAAGTCTTTGGCTATCCACTCTATCTATGCCTCTCATCATCTTGTACACCTCTATCAAGTCACCTCTCATCCTTCTTTGCTCCAATGAAAAAAGCCCTAGCTCCCTCAATCTTTCCTCATAAGACCTGCCCTCCAATCCCGGTAGCATCCTGGTAAATTTCCTTTGCACTCTCTCTAAAGCTTCCTCATCCTTCCTATAATGAGGCGACCAGAACTGAACACAATATTCCAAATGTGGTCTAATCCGGGTTTTGTAGAGCTGCAGCATAACCTCATGGCTCTTAAACTCAATTTCCCTGCCAATGAAAGCCAACAGACCATATGCTTTCTTTACAACCCTATCAACTTGGGTGGCAACATTGAGGGATCTATGGACGTGGACCCCAAATCCCTCTGTTCCTCCACACTGCCGAGAATCCTGCCATTAACCGTGTATTCTGCATTCAAATCTGACCTTCCAAAATGAATCACTTCACACTTTTCTGGGTTGAATTCCATCTGCTACCTCTTTGCCCAGCTCTGCATCCTGTCAATGTCACGTTGCAACCTACAATGGCCCTCCACACTATCCACAACTCCACCAACCTTCGTGTCATCGGCAAACTCACTAACCCCCCCTTCCACTTCCTCATCCAAGTCATTTATAAAGATCACAAAGAGCAGAGGCCCCAGAACAGATCCCTGCGGAACACCACAGGTCACCGAGCTCCAGGCTGAATACTTTCCATCTACTACCACCCTCTCTCTTCTATTGGACAGCCAATTCTGTGTCCAGACAGCCAGATTTCCCTGGATCCCATGCCTCCTTACTTTCTGAATGAGCCTACGATGGGGTTCTCCGGAAGCTTTTGGAGTGGGGGGGGGGGGGGTGGGGGGGGGGGGTTGAATTGGGGGGAGTGGGTAAAAAACAGGCAAAAGACAAGGAACTGAACAAGGCTGTGGGGCACAGAGAGCAAACACACACACACACACACACACACACACACACACACACACACACACTCAATGGAAAATTCCAGAATGTCAACTTCTGGTTACAGTTTAAACAGAAAAGAAGCCAGTAAATCTCCTCACACTGAAACCACGCTGCCTGGGTAACTGTAGCCTGTTCCAGCTTGAAAAAGACTAATGTTCCACCAGATTTCCTCGAATTCTTTTCATCCCAGAGGTACTGTGTTGGAAAGGTTAAGAGTTGTAAGTAAAATTCATCAGTTCCAGCAGCACTCAAATGCATAATTAGCCCATTTATATTCGCCTTGTCTGCACAGATTCAGTCTAAATTAACTTCTCCTTCAAAGCAGAATGGGTTTTATTTTTACTTTAACACTTGTACCACAGGCTGCAATTTCCTCGCTTCTCCCTTACCGTCGTCAGCCGCAGCAGCCGAAATGAGACTTGAGCTAACCATCTCACCAAATACTGCTGCTTTGACATTCAGGAGGGGAGTTGGTGATGTGTCCAATGGAGTTTAATAATTAGCACTGGATTTTCAGATTGCTGCTCACAAGTTAACCACTCTCCCAGCCCCAAACAAGTGCCACCCCAAAGCCCTAGTTTTCACATGGGGCAGGGGAAGCTGGGGGGCGGGTAAAATTGCCACTCTGGCCCGGCTTGACCTCTCACCTTTCTCCTCCCCCTCCCTGGTGAACTAGCCCTGATTGGTATCGAACCGCCTTCGTCCAAACTTTTCAGAAGTTGAACTGTTCCTTGCCCAACGTGACAAGAGAGGTCCCTCTTGGAGGGTTGGGAATCGGGCCTTCATGACTTTTCCCGAAGCTTAGCCTGTTGTCTCCTCATATATATATGCACTGGCAACAGTGGACAGATAGACAAACAGACACACATATATAGAGGAGATAGTAAGAACTGCCGATGCTCGAGTCTGAGATAACACACTGTAGAGCTGGAGGAACACAGCAGGCCTGGCAGCATCAGAGAAGCAGAATATAGAGGCATGCACACAGACACAGACAATACGGTACACACAGATGAGACCTTAGAGACACGCACACAGAGAAATAGATTAAAATATAACAGCCCAGATTTTACAGTCAGTGTGAATCAGAGAATTCCATCAAGGTGGAGACCCACACTATCCCTCTAACCCTGCATTAACCCATATCCCTGGGCACTGCAGGCCAGTCCACCCTGCATATCTTTGGACTGTGGGAGGAAACCAGAGCACCCAGAGGAAACCCACACAGACATGGGGAGAATGTGCAAACTCCACATAGACAGTCGCCTGAGGGTGGAATCAAACCCAGGTCCCTGATGCTGTGAGGCAGCAGTGCTAACCACTGAGCCACCATGCCAACCCAAGGTTGGCTGATAACTGGGTCAGCAGGCATCCTGCAGAACAGTTGGCAGGAATTAGGGTGGACCCTTGCTGCTATTGGGTGTCTGCTCCAGCACAGCGCCCATTGCAGGTAATCTGTATGAACAGCAAGGGCACGAGCCAAGCTCTTTATCCTCATCTGTTCAGGTTGGAGAATCCTCACTGAAAACATGTAGAGTTTAAACCAGGAAGCATAAAGCAAGAAATATAAATCAAGTTTCAATCAGGTACAGAAAGTGAAATAAGCGATTCAAAGAGAGAGAAGAAAAGAAGTGGGATAAAAATGTTATAGAGCAAAGGAAAGTTGTCCAAGTGTCAACAGCTGGAGAATATGAAATCATTCCATAAACTCGCTTATGTCAATGTTTTCTTTAATTTACCTGTTACCAATTGGGTATGGAGTGCTCCTGAATAGAATGTGAAAGATCAGGTCCTGATCACTTTCCATTGGTTACCTTTGTCTTCATACATTGATTCTCTCTCTTTGAGTAGCAGCAGCGCACTTTGCAATGGGAGAGGAGTTGAGACGCAGGTCCAGAGGAGTCGGGGTCCATGTAACTTGTACTGACGCCCTCTTTCCTTCTCTAGTTGTTTCCAGCCAACACGGATGGTAACGAGGTGGTCCTGAACACACTGACCCCGCCCGTCGTGGCTCGCTTTGTTCGCATCCGGCCTCAGAATTGGAAAAATGGAATTTCAATGCGTTTCGAGCTCTACGGCTGCCAGATTACAAGTAGGTCTCCATCTCCTGTCCGAACCTCCAATCATCTCTACACACCCCCACCCCCTCACTTTTACATTCCTAACAACTCGTGAATGGCCTTCATGGTTTTTGTTAGCTCATCGCCGAATGAAAGGTGAATGTGCAAGGGCATGTTTGTGCATCAGTCGAGATAGTGAAGAAGCCATGGTTTTACACTAGCCCTCTCCTATTTCACCGCCCTCTTCCAAATATGTCGACCCACTTCCGGAGATTCTGGCATTGTACCTCAGCTGGTCCACTGCCAGGCTGAGACGAGGAAGATCTCAATCTGTGAAAGGCCTCGCAGACAAACCCAAGCCTGGCTCTCACTTGGTGTCCACACTTGAGATACGTTCATGGCAGGGACTCTGACTGAGAAAGAAGGAACTTGCATTATTTTTAACATGGGAAAGGAAGAAAGTACAAGGTTCTTAATCCAAGCGTAATTAAGCAAGATTTGTCACTGAGCTACAGAAAGAGATATTAGGATAGGTAATCATAAGTTTGGCAGCATGTGTAATAGCAGCAGGACTAGGCCATTAGGGCTTCTTCTCCATTCATGATTGGTGTTCTATCTCAATGGCATTTTCCCATATCTCTCATTGTCCTTATTATCTAGAACTCCTTATCAATCTCTGTCTCAATGACTTAGTGTCCACAATCCTCTAGGGTAGAGAATTCGACGAACTTCTGAGTGAAGAATTCCTCCTCATCTCAGTCCCAAATGACCTGGCCCTTTGCCTGAAACTGTGTCCCAGATTCTAGGTCCACTCCAGTCTGGGCAAATATCCTTCCTGTATTGAGCCTACTGAGCCCTCTGAGAATTTTGTATGTCTCAAGAAGCTCTAAGGAGGATGAAGAGGTGCAGAGAGCCAGAAAAATACTGGAGGGTACATTCTCTTCATGTAGCCATGTTTATCAATGGTTGGCTTGGCCATCATTTATTGCCCAACCCTGAGTGCCCTTGAGAAAGGTTGGGGTGAAACATTACCTTGAATCGCTGCAGCCCATCATAGCAGATTCTTTTCGTACAACTGAGAGGTTTCGTTAGGCTACAGCGGGACCTGGATGTCCTTGATGAATCACATAAAGTTCGGACGCAGGTACAGCAAGTGCAAGGAAAATGGAGCGTTGTTGTTTATTCCAGTGGGAACGGACTATAAAAGTAAGGAGGTTTACCTGCCATGGTGCAGGGCATTGGTGAGATCACATCCAGAGTCCTGTATACAGTTGAGGCCTCCTTATTTCCTAAAAGATGTAATAACTTTAAAAGCAGTTATGAGAAGGTTCACTCGAGTCACTGCTGGGGTGAGGGCTTATCTTATGGTGAATGGTTAGGCCTATAACCATTGGAGTTTTGAAAAATGAGAAGCGCTTGCATTGAAACATTGGATAGACTGGATACGTAGAAGATTTTTACTGTTGAAGGGAAGACTACGGTAAGAGGACATTGTTTAAGAACAAAAGCCCTCTTCCAATTACAACAGTGTCTCAAAGTGTCTTAGAGTGTGGAGCTGTCCTCTCTGGAAGGTGACGCAGGCTGTGTCTTTAAACTTATTCAAAGCTCAGTTCGACTTTTGATCAACACGGGAGTCAAGGGCAATGGGGAGCAGACAGGAAACCACAACGAGATAAACCACGATCTTAATGAATGATGAAGCAGAAGGGCCAAATTGCCTAATTACTGCTCTGACGTCCTCTGTTCCTACTTCAGAGGGAAGTCACCCCTGTTTTCTCTGAATCTGGAATTGCGGTAACACCAGGTCAAGAAAGGACAACAGTTTTCCTTCTCTGAAGGACATTAGTGACAATCCATTGGTTTCATGACCTCTGTTACTGATTTGAAGTCCTACCTGAGGAATCACCTACCAGTCCAGTAACATAACCACTTTGCTACTGGTAGGTAGTCACAGAACTCAAGACCAAGTGGATTGAAGGCATGGGCCAGTAAAGTCAGAATGAAAGCAATTGTTCAAGAGGCCAGAGCATACAGATCTTGCAGTGTTATAGGGTTGATATGTAGGTAAGGAATATTAGAAGCGAATAAGAGTTGTAGATTGGTTGAAGTGGCCTGTTTAGCCAACGCAGAGCACATCATCTGTCGAGTTCTGCCGCAGACTGTCCATTGCCACACACTGACTCTGTCTCTTTTAACAGATGCACCGTGCTCCGATATGCTGGGAATGCTGTCCGGACTCATCCCCGACTCCCAGATCACGGCCTCCTCCACCGGGGACTATCACTGGTCACCGGGCAGTGCCCGGCTCGTCGCCAGCCGATCGGGCTGGTACCCACGGCAGCCTCACCCTCCGCCCGGCACGGAGTGGCTTCAGGTGGCCCTGCCCACTCCAAAGGCCGTCAGTGCCATCATCATCCAGGGGGCACGTGGAGCATCGGTCGTGGATGGTGGCACAGGAGGGGAGAACAAGGCTTTTGTACGGAAGTTTAAATTGGCGTACAGCATGAACGGAGCCAACTGGACGTTTGTGAAGGAATCTGGAGGATCACGGCATAAGGTGGGGCCCTCGATTTCTTTTTGCAAAGTGTTTGTGCGTGATAAGGTCGACTACGTGCGTACTAAAGGTACCCACAAGTCGCAGTCAGAATAGAGGTGGCTAGATCATTCCCCCATCAAACGGAGCTGGAACTCCTGAATGAAACTTATTTGACACGTAGACTCGTTATGCAACTATCCTTCCCCCCATTACCGCGTTCAATAATCCTGCTATTAACAGGACACTTTGCCTGTGGCTTCAGTTATAAGTTCTCTTTGCTGTCATTCAGGGAAAGTCAGAAGTCACACGACACCAGGTTATAGTCCAACAGGTTTATTTGAAATCAGAAGCTTTTGGAGCGCGGTCCCTACCTGATGAAGGGGCCCTGCTCCGAAAGCTTGTGTTTTCAAATAAACTTGTTGGACTATAACCTGGTGTCCTGTGACTTCTGACCTTATCCACCCCAGTCCAATGCTGGCACCTCCACATTATATCAGAGGTAGTAGGAACTGCAGATGCTGGAAAATCTGAGACAACAAGGTGCAGAGCTGGATGAACACAGCAGGCCAAGCAGCATCATAGGAGCAGGAAGTCTGACGTTTGGGGCTAGACCCTTCATCAGAAAATGTTGTTCAGAGAGGCTCTTTAAGTAGTTCTGAGCAAGGGTCACTGGACTTGAAACGCTAACTCTGCTCTCTCTCCACAGATGGCTGCCAGACCCGCTGAGATTTTTCCAGCAATTTCTGTTCTTGTTTCTGATTTCCAGCATCCGCAGTGGGTTTTTCTCTCTAAAGTAGACTCCTTTTGCTGCACCGTAGACTCTCCAAAGTCCTGTCATAAAAACCCCACCCTCTCTCTCAACTCATTGGTGGATACTGGGTTTGTCAACACTTTGTTTTCAAAAAAAGACGATTGCAATCACCTGTACTCTCCTGAAAGCAGGAACACGCTGGGATGAGGGAAGTTAGGGAAGGTGAGAGGAGAGGAGAGCTAGTTTTGAGGACACCACCTGTATTCCAACAGCCTTGCCTGATGTGCGGGTCTTCTAAATGTTGAGATTTAGTGGACGCTTGGACTACTGCGAGTTGTCACATCTAAGTACCGTCGTCAACAACCCCACTCACGTACAAAGTCAATGCAAAGATTCGACAGTGGGCACTTTATTTCGTCCAGACTGTTCAGCCCTGCTAGGTTAAATTAATTGAATGAATTTCGCGCAATCTGAACGCTAAGTGGGAAAGTGGCTTGGAATCTTCACCTGCGCAATCTGCCTCCTTTCTGGTAATAGAAACGATATGCCAGGTTTTGTAACCTGTGTGCGGGGAAAAGGGTCAGTGACAGCTGTCCCTGGCATCTCGAACTGTATTGTTGAGTGTTCATGCCTGTACCGTTAAGCACTAAAGTGGGCTCTCTGGATCCTGAAGGATGTTGAGGCCTTAAGAGAGGGCATAGAGAAAGTTTACCGGAATGGTAATACACAAAATAAAAGTGGAAACTTGCCACGTCTTCCAGGCTCAGTGTGTACCTGTCTATCTTAAGGAGGCAGCGTTGCGGAGCAGGCTCGAAGGGCCAGACGGCCTACTCCTGCTCCTAGTTCTTATGTTCGTATAGAGATCCCATCACAGACTGCGATAAATTGTCCCTGGCAGTTTGGGGTTTTCTTCCCTCACTGATATTGACTGCAGTAGAACTGATGCCGATTGAGAACGTAAACCGCTGTTGGTGACCGACAAGCAGTCAGGAACAGTCGGGTCTGTGCAGATTGTGCGCAGCCGTTCCTGGAGTGCTGTGCCTGGATGAGCAGTGGAAGCGGATCCCCAGTATTGATCATTGCAAGGCAATGGGGCAGGAATGGAACTTTTGAGTCTTTCAGAGAGCTAGCAGTGGCTGGGTGGGCCAAATGGCCTTCTTTTGCACTATTTCATGTTCCCCCTTGTGTGACTGTGAGGAGCAAGACTCCGAGACAAGAAGGGAACAACAGAGGAGAAAAGGAGAGGGAGAAAAAAATCCAAGTACTCTTTATGTATTAGGAAACATATTTTCTCATTATCAGAGACGGGGAGAAACAAAAACATATTGCCAGTGGAGCTTTTTTCTTCAGCAATTAACAATTCATTGCATTTGTTTTCAGTTGACTTAATTTACAACTTCTAGCTCAGGGCGACGTGACAAATGAAATATTCAGAGCAGTTTGTAACATTTGCATTTCCACCACATGCCAAAACGAAAACAAGAGAAGATAGAGCATCTTGTGTGTCTACAGCCTCTCTCGTGTTCTCAACCGCTGTTGTAAGGTGTGAAGGATAGCAGCCAGCGTGCGCACAGCAAGATCGCACAAACAGACCCGCGATAATGACCAGACATATTCCATTTTTTATTTTACTGATGATAGTTGAGGGGATAGGTGTTAGCTGGAACACCAGAGAGAAAAGCCCGCTCCACCCGTTCATTCTCCTTGGCCGACCATTATCCGCTCCTTTTCTGTTCAACTGTCCTTCTTCTTTGGACTCCATCTCCACCTATCATTTTACTCCTTACCCACCCTCCCCCAAATCTACCTCCTGTGCAAAACAAAAATAACCAAGCTTTTCCCAGCCATCATCAGTTTTGAGGAAGGGTCACCGGACCCGAAACATTAACTCGTGATTTCTCTCCACAGATACTGCCAGGCCCACTGAGCCTTTCCAGCAATTTTCCGCTTTTGGTTCTGACCTCCAGCATCCGGCAGTTCTTCCGGTTTTTATCCCGCCCCCACGATTTGTTCCAGACTGGCGTTCCCGTGCTGCGCTAAGGTGTGCGTTTTGGCTGGGACCGTCTCTTCTGTGAGACCTCAGCCCCCACTCACCCTCTTGGGTGCATCTTAAAAACGCCATGCCTTCATTTTGAGCGGGTATCAGCTCCCCAGAGGTAATATCACTGAGCTAATAATCCGTAGCCAACACCCCACACACACACTAAATTCTCTGGAGACATCGGTTCAAATCCCACTCTGGCAGCAGGTGAAATTTGAATTTGTTTTTCCTTTTGAAAAAGGCCAATCTGATGACAACCGTTGTCAATTGTTGTAAAAGTCTATTGGATTCACTAATGTCCTGTTGAAAAGGAAATCTGGTCTGACCTACATGTGACTCCAGACCCACACAATGTGGTTATCTCCTCGGGGTGAGTAATAAATGCTGGACAGGCCGGTGAAGCCCACATCTCCTGAGCAAATAAAATAAAAGACTGGAATTTATTACTAAAACAGATTATGTCGACCTCTGTTTTACTGTTCCTGTGGGAGCTTGCATTGTGCAAATTGGCTGCATTGCTTCCTACTTTACAACAGAGACTACACTGCTCTGGCGGAGGAAGTTATTAAAGAAATGCAAGTCTTTCTTTAGTTCCAGTTAAAGGATTTAAATTACTTCAGTGGAGAAATCCATTTGTAGTTGCTGAGACAGATACCTATGGTGGTTCTTTGGTCAGTTTTATTCAATCTGCCTCTCTGCATCATCCTCAGATGTTTGAAGGGAACAACAACTACGACACTCCTGAGATTCGCCGATTTGATCCTGTTCCTGCACGCTTTGTCCGAGTGTATCCAGAGAGATGGACCCCCGCTGGAATTGGGATGCGCTTTGAACTGCAGGGCTGTGATTTAATGGGTAGGTGTATTTCCAAACCTGTCATTTGTGTGTGTGTGTGTGTATGTGTGAGAGGAGTGTCTGTGTGTATGTTTCTGTGTGTGTGTGTTGATGTCTGTGTGTGTGTGTCTATATGTGGATGTGTGTGGTATGTCTGTGTGTGTGTGTCTATGTGTGTGTGTCAGTTTGTGTGTGCGCGTGTGTTTGTGTGTGTGTGTCTGTATGTATATGCCTGTGTGCACGCGCATGTGTGTCTGTACGTGTGTATGTATGTGTGTCTGTACGTGTCTGTGTGTGTGTGTATGTGTGTCTGTCTGTCTGTGTACAACGTCTATGCCTCATCTGTCTACACCAAGGCAATGAATCGTTGTGATTTTCTAGTGGAGTAGCACAGCCAAGATCAGTGACCTGATCTTTAGCCCCAGATTCCGTTTCGCAGCTTTGATAGATTTCATCTTTGTGAGGTCTTGATTGATATCAGTCATGCATTCACAAACTTTCACTGACATTCATGTATTCTGACTCATTCATAGACTTGTTTACATTCAGTCTCACCCACTCACGTCAATATTTTCACAATACACAAACTTCAGGCCCACAATCTCATATGCTCACTACAGTATTCTGAATCAAGTCATACCCATTCATTCCAGTGCTCAAACTAACACACAATCTCCGCACGATCGCACTCGGCCTGAGATCCGCACTTACGCGCTACCGCATTCGGTGACCCATTTGCTCACTCCACTCTCAGTCTATCCAGAATGACAACACTGCACACAGAAAATGCTCAGAACTTATCAGGCCAGACAACTTCCCGAAGTAGAGCTGCTGCTGAGTACTTCCAGCATCTTCTGGCTTTTGTTTTAGAAAAGATATCTGGCTTCGGTGCCAACTTTGCATTTGTGTAGCACCTTCAGTGTAGCGAAACACCACGAGGCGTTTCGCAGGAGTGTTTCCAAAACAAGCTCGATGCCAAGCCACGCAAGGTGGTCTCTGAATGCCCAACCCATGCTTGATCAAAGAGCTACAGCTTAAGCAAATGTCTGGCGGGGGAGGTGGAGATGGAAAGGCCTTAGTTGCTGGTTGATTCACTGGTGCCTCCATGTGTGACCCCACATACATGCACACGCACACATGCAATAGTTCGGCCACACTCACGCCAAGAAATGTTGCGGAAAAATACTTCAAGTTGTTAAATGATCCTGAACAAATAACCCAGATGCGGAGCTTAGCTTTTTGATAAATGTAGAGACATCTCAAAAGGATTGTGTGAAATTAATCTCTTGACAGTCGTACGGCGGAGATGGACTCGCAGAGCGAGAGCGTGTCCCGGACTCTGCAATTTGTGTTTGCAGTTCGGCTGCTCCCTTCTGAATTGGTAATTGTGATTTTCCTCTTCTCGAAATAAAGGCAGGTTATGCCTGGGAGCTGTTCGCCAGATGTTTGGGAGGCGTGGGCAAGGGCTTACTGAAACCACATCTCAAATGCTCAGCCTCTTTAGATGCCGATGCAGGGAGTTGTCAAGCAAGAGGGTCTGTTCACAATCAACGTTGGAGGGGCAAAGTTGGATAGTTCGCGAACCGACCTCTCTCACTGCTGTCCCCTGCCGCTACAGCCTGCTAAATGAAGGAATATCATGACACGGCAAGATTCCCCACAAGGACACCGCACTGGGGAGGGATCTCATTCATTTGTTTACCGGGACGTCACAAGGCACCACACTCAATGCAGGGCGGCCTTGTGGTCTCGTTCAATTAGCGTTCAGCGTGAAAGGCCCAGACATATGCTGATGATTACACTGCCCAATGCCATCTGAGCTGACGGGGGAGACTCGCAATGATAGCTCGCCAGATCCTGGAATAATCTCTCCCTATTTTTCTTTACTTTCGCTCTCTCGTTCGCTCATATCTGCCGGCCTCCTCTCCCGTCCCTGCTACCTTACCCCCAATCCACCCCCACACCATAGTCACGATTCCTTTGATAATGAGCAAAGTATAGCTCTCCAGCCTCCTCCTATTCATGCTGATTAAGACACGGATGACAAACTATGCGGTGGAAAAATATCTCGCTGGCTTTTTGTTCTCTCTATAATCATGATTCGACCTAAACTGAGACTTTCCTCTCTTCTCTACAAAGATGCACTGATAAAAATATAATAACAGATTGCCAAGAATGCTACCGGAACAGAGAGTGCAATTATCCCGAAGGGCGGAAAAGGCTGGAGCTCTCTTCTCCGATGCAAGGCTGTTGATGACTAGACAGAGCTCTTCAAAATTTTGAAAGGGTTGGATTGGTTAGAGTTGGAGAAGATCTTTCTGTTTATGGAGGAGACCAGAAAGAGGCTCACAATATAGCGTGGCTGGTTGGAGAATGAGACGGAAAATCTCGCAACCTTTGAAAAGTACTCGGACGCACGCTTGAAACATCATAACATTCAATGCAACGGGCCTGGTCTGGGTAAAGTGGGACTGGTATATATTTTTGGCAGCACAGACTTGACAGACTAAAGATTCGCTTCTGTAGCGTATGATTCGACGAATATGCAATCTACTGCCGCAGGAGAACACCCTAAATTGCCCGTAGTGTTCAGGGATGTGGAGATTAGGTGGGTAGGGTAATAGGGGGATGGGTCGGTGTGGACTTGTTGGGCCGAAGGGCCTGTTTCCACACTGTCAGGATTCTGTGAGCTTCTACTAATATGGAAACCATTCCACAGGGAGTTGAATTTGAAGCTAGATGACCACGTGAAGGAGATGGGAATAGGGGGATTTGCAAATGAGAGAGGGGTCAGTGCGCATGTGGGGTATAGACCCTGACAAGGGCCTGTTGAGCTGCTCCTGACTTGTAATTCCACATATTTCCTCGCTCTGAAGTCCCCTGTTGGTGCCAGTTACTGACAATGCGGCTGTGATGTGATACATGACATGCTATCTTCCAACGCACTCGACGACACATTGTCTCCTCGTCTCTACTTCTTGCTGATGGCGGGGGGGGGGGGGGGGGGGGTGGTAGAAACGAGCGTCCATGGGATTTAAAGAAAAGGCCAGCGTTTGCAGGATCTTTCGGAACCTCCGACATCCCAAACCACGTTACAGACAAGAGGGTGATTTGTGCCCTGCACTCATTGTTACAGTTTGGGAGCTGTTGCCAATTGTCCTGTTGGGATGCAATGCCTTTGACTCCCCAAATTCAAACTGATGGTCTGCAGAATAGAACATGACAGCTTAAGCTGTAAATTTCAGCACAGCTTCTCAGAGCTCTGCAAGCCAACCGGAAACTGGAGAAAAGTAAAGCTCTCAATGTCATTTAATCATTTTGTTTTAATTAATCTATGAGTCAGGACCTTGACTATTTACAATGGATGCTGTCAATCAGCTTGAAGCAGAACCTGGGCTCTAGCAGTATATTGCGGGGCTATGTTTTGGTTAAAATATGGGAACTTAATTGGCGTCAACAGCTTCACAGACTGTTGGACAAAGAGCCATTCTTTATGTTCCTTCAAGGCAATATTCTCACTGCTCAGAACAATGTACAATTTACAATTTGACTTCATATTTTATTTTTTGTAAATTAAGGAGGAGGTTTAGTTTTGTTTTTTGAGTATCCCTGTGGTTTGGTGGTGGGAAGTCTGGAGGTTCCTAATGGTCAGATACATTTTGATGAGTCTTCAAACCCTTAAGGTGAATCATGCTTCTGCTTAGTGACAGGGGTATAATGACATAAGAAAAAGGCAGAATAATCCAAAAGGTCAGTCAGTTTGTGTGTGGTGTATGCCAGAGAGTGAAGGATTGTAGAGATATTGGATTGAGTGAATTCATGTAGTTCCTCTTAAAGTTAATGTCATTGTGATTTTAGTCTGCAGTTTGATTTAGGCGTCCTGGGAGAGACACTAGCTGAAGGGAGAACTTATCTGGTGACTGCACAGAAATTTTCTGAAATGAAACTGGTAGCAGCTATACCAGTCTGAATCTGAGCAAAGAGCCTTAGTGCAGAGATACTGGTAACTCTTCACTGAAGTTTGGATGTTTGCTGAGATGAAAGAAGTAGTGTGAATTTGATATCTGTTGATCTCTCTTTTTCTGATATCTGTAATGAAATCTTTGCAACCTTCATTTATCTCGTATAATGTAATTTCTATTTTTCTGGCTTAATAATTGGCTTTACACTTTGCGTTAAAAGTACAGAGGCAGACTCGTGTGAATGCTGTTAGCAACTGACCTCCATGGTTCTGAAAAACAAAACGAAGTTAAGATCTGACAAGTCAGGTTTCATTCTAAGATCTGGTGTTAGCATAGGCTGGGATCATAAGACTCACCCCTTTCAAAACTGTGCAGCAACCCAAAACGTTTCATAGACAATTGAGTACTTTTTGATGCATAACAGAGACAGTAGAGCAACCAGTTTGTGCTCAGTAAGATCCCACAGATGAGATAGGGTCAGATAATCTGTGGTAGTGATGTTGGTTGAGGGATGAATATTGGCCAGGATATCAATGACGAACTCTCCTGGTTTTGGTACTGTGATTTGGAATCTTTCACACCTGCCTGAAAAGGTTAGCATATGCCTCACTTTGCTGGCTCACCTCCTGAAACTGCAGCAATCCCTCAGTACTGCATTGAAGCATCATCCTGGATTATGTGCTGTTTCAATCAGCTAGTGCTTTCTGCTTTCTGTCCCATTACTTTATTAGGAGGTGTAATGTGTGTTACTGAACCCAGATCAATTGGATCAGATATTCTGGGAAACTGGCAGGAGATTGCTTTTAGTGGTGATTTAAAGCAAAGCCTTTGAGGAATTTTAAAAAGCTATTGTGATCAAGAAATGATTTGTTGCAGTCAAGTTTTGGAAGTGTGCCAAGTTGGAGCAAGAAAGAAAGCAATTCATTCATTTTTATAATAACGTTGTTCCAAAATAGAACAGTAAACATTATCCAGAATGCTAACTGATCTTTTTATTTTGTCTTCCCTTCATGTCTTGAAGTAGAGATTCAGGCCAGACATCATTTTTTAAAGCTATATTCTTTTTTGCAGGGCTCGTTGTGTTTTAAATTGGTCGCAGATTTTGTGTGTGTGTGTGTGTGTGTGTGTATGTGTGTGTGTGTGTGTGTGTGTGTGTGTGTATATGGAATAATTGCCTCCTAATAACATTTACAATTATGAAGATCTATTTTCATAACTGGCAAATTTGTATGGAGCAGATTTGCACTAATCTCGCCCAGTTGCAAAGGGAAGATAATTTGTCAATCTGTCAGGGAGTAGTTTATAATGTAATTAATTTTAAGATCCAAGCAAGGTTTATGTAAAATGCATTTGCAGAAAGGTTAATCAAAATGAGAAATCCTGGACTGAGCTGACAGGCACTGATGCATTGAAGTACATATTCCTCCAATTACATAGTCTCCACCAGTGCTACCACCCTCTGAGATCTCTCCTGCACATCTACTTCCGTAGCCCCAACATTCATTGGTGTATCTTAAAGTGCCTAGGCCCCAAAGTTCTAGACTTCCTTCCCAAAACCACTGTTTTCTACAGCTCTGTCCTCCGTTAAGAAAGTCCATAAGACCTACCACTTTGACCAGGTTTTTTGCCTGTCCTGACAGCTTACGTTCGGTCTCAAACTTTGTCGGATAACACTCTAGCGAAATGGCTTGAGGCACCCTGTTACATCAAAGGTGCCACAGAAACACAAGTCGGTGTGGAATTGCAGACTGGCTGAGCAGCTGCCTTCCTGGTCATTCACTTCACCTTGTGCCCATGCTTATCCAATCTTCAGCAAAAAATAATTCACTGGTTGTGAACTGCCCCGAGGACATGACAAGCCTTGATGAAGCTGCAATTTCTAACCCTCTTCTCTAGCACATGATGTCTCACCAGGCTTTGCAGACTGAAACGTGATATAATATTGAAGTGCCAACTTTGTCTGCAACCTCACCTGAACTGCTTTGTTCTTCCAGCAACCACCACATCTGTTGCTACCGTTGTCTCCACACAGTGGGTTGGAGAGAATGCCACAGAGGCTCCGTGTGCCAGTGAGGATGACCCATCCTGCATGGCCAACCCTCATATAATTGGTAAGTTCAGTGCTTCCACGAACATTGCGGCAGCAATATAACCGCTCTCCATCATTTATTACAAATTTAATGATTTTCAACCATTCTCGGAAGAAGCAAGTATAAAAAAAAGGAAATAAGTCGAGGGATGTGTTGAATTGTTTCTTTCTTTGCTGCAATCTACAGAAGCAAGTTTTTTTTTGTCAGGTTTGAGCAGGACAATAATGCGGAGAAACACTGGATAGATAACACAGAGAAACACTGGCCAGAACTGAGTGAAGCACTGGGCTGTAATTGAGAGAAACATGAGCAGGAGTCAAGAGAAACATCGGTCACTGATCCAGAGAAACACTGGGACAATAATCCAAAATAGGATACGTGCAGTCCTGGTCACTCTGCTATAGGAAGGATATTATTTAATTCAAGAGCCTTCAAAAAAGAGTTACCAGGATGTTGCCAGGGAATGGAGGGTTTGAGTTATAAGGAGAGGCTGGATAAGCTGGGACTTTTTACACTGGAGTGTAGGAGGTTGAGGGGTGACCTTATCGAGGTTTACAAAATCATGAGGGGTATAGATAAGGCAAATAGCAAGAAGTTATTTCCTTAAAGTGGGGGAGTTCAAAGCGTGGGGGCATATTTGTAAGGTGAGAGGAGAAAGATATAAAAAAGACACGAGGGGCAACTTTTTTACACAGAGTGTGGTTTGGTGTGTGGAATGAACTGCCAGACGAAGTGGTAGATGCAGATTTAAAAGACATTTGTAAAGTACAAGAATTGGAAAGATTTAGAGGGATATCGGCCAAATGCAGGCAGGGACTAGTTTGGTTTGGGAACACATTTGACATGGACTGGTTGGACTGAAGGGTCTGTTTCCATGCTGTGTGACTTTATTACTCTATGACTCTATAACAGCAGACTGCGTCTTCACTGATGAAGAACAGAAAAGAATTGTACATTTAGTGAGCAGTTCGATATGCTTGATCAATTAAAAATAAATCCAAAAATAGGCTGTCAGTGGTAAAGGTACAATAGTTGCACTCCCTCATTACTGAGAGACAACAGGTGATGGTTTAACCTGAGGGTCACCATGCGTCAGGTGAGGGCAGATGTTGAGAAGGAGAGTCCTTTGTGGTAACGTAAGCCAGTGCAGGAAGGGGACGCAGGCTGTTGGCCTCCCTCTTCATTGCAAGCTGACCAACCAGCCAACTGAGCTAACCACCCCTCTTGTGCATGGTACTGCATGTTTTCCTGTACATGTTCCATCACAAGCAAGTCTTGGGTTTGAACATTGGTTGTCAGAGCTAGAGATGCCCTCCACCATTGCAAAGCTGTCGGCTCGTCTCCTTCGAGGCATTTTATTTCCCTCTGTGCCAACTCCATCTCGCCACTTCCTCACCTTGTTGCTGACTAGATGAGACCACCCCCAGCTCAGGATTGCTCAAATCCAGCATCTCTTACCTCCATGCCCATTCTGTCCCCAACTTCTTGGTGACAGCAGTGAGATTTTCCACAGTCTCTCTTGTCTTTGTTCACACAGTCCATTATGTACCTTTATCGTCTCCCTTTTCACAGTCTTCTTTTCCACTGATCATTGATTTCTTCTTCCCACTCTCTCTTTTTTCCCCTCTCATACAGAAAGTATTTTATTGGCTTGGCATGCAGTGCATAATCTCAGGTCCTGTTTTTTCTTTAAATTAAGACCTGTACCTGAGATTTCAGATAACTATTGATCATTGACTGCACATTTAAGTCAAATCATAAAATTACAAGAAAAGTATTTGCAAATAGGCAGACATTGCACGTTCTATAGCTATTAAGAAAAGAATATACATTGACTGAATGGATGCATTTAAACTTTTAAAAAATCATTTTCAAACTGATCTCTTTTAAAGTTTTAACCACTAAGAGATTATATTTGCCTTCTTAAGTATCTTTGCAAAATTTTGTACTTGATTAGGGGAGTCTATCCACTGAAAAGTTTGATCTTAAGACATTTGCTGAGCACACAATTCTATGTGACAAGGTCTAATTCTTCCCCATTTTATTGAGGAATTAATCATCAAACTATGAGAAGTTAATCGGTGAGGAAGGGTTGGTTATTATAGACTGTTGTTTTGTGTGTGGACAACTGCTTGCAAGTTTGCTGTCACAGCTAATTGTGAGGCAATTATTTTCGTAATCCTGGCTATTTGGTTCTGAGAGAGCAGGATGTGGCCACAGCTATTGCATAGGCACTCCCACTGCAAAGAAAGTCCATAAAAGTGGAGAGTGTGAGCCTGGGACTAAGATACTTTGTTAGATCGGTAGATGGAGCTTTAAATCTCCAGTTGGCTGCTTTTCTACCTGACCTGTGAATGCTTCAAATATACACTGGAGGCCAAACCAATGCCTCCAAGGTGAGCTGTCTCCCTATATGACAGATTGACTCAGCCAGGAAGGGACCTGTTAGATCCAATTTTGTGATCCCCGAAGGAAATCCTGGGTGGTCACAGGGTGCGGGTGTGTACCAAGGTGGCCTGGTTAGAAAGCCTGTGTAGTCCTTTACTATTTCACCCATCTCCCCCTGCCACTTCCATTCCAATTCATGCCCCCCCATCCCACCTTTCTCCATTCCAATTCATGCCACACCCACACCACCACTGCCACCCATAACTCCAATGTTACCTCCAAAGCCACTCACCCTGCATCCACATGGGCAGATCCCAGGGGCCATGGTGTGATTGGAAAAAAAGTACTTGTCATAATCTAGCACAGTTCTCACTACTACAGACTTATTAGTGAAAAAAAAACCCTCCTATTTATGTCAACCATTCAAAGCTTTTAAATCTCCTTACTAAAATAAACTCATCTCTATTCGGACCTGACATCAAAAGCAGCTGCTTTTTTAATGCCTTGTTAAATTTTCAATCAAACTGTGAACCAAGAATGTCCCGTGCGATAGTGATAGCATTTGAAACTCAGCCAAGCATTTGTAATGGCAATAATAATAATCGCCCGTGTGGAATTATCAACCCAGAACACTTTTGAAACTGAACAGCTAGATAGCAGAGATAGTAGGAACTGCAGATGCTGGAGAATCTGAGACAACAAGGTGCAGAGCTGGATGAACACAGCAGGCCAAGCAGCATCATAGGAGCAGAATGGCTGACGTTTTGGGCCTAGACCCTTCATGCTTGGCCTGCTGTGTTCATCCAGCTCTGCACCTTGTTGTCTCAGCTATACAGCAATGTGGTTCCTAACTCTCACAGATGGTCTGTCAACCCTATCAGTCTATAAGATGCCTTTTTTACTCTCATTTCAGCCTATTTTTTCAAAAATATTTAGGATTGAGCTATTTAATAGAGTTCAACCGCTGACATTTATACAGATATTAGCCACCCTTCAAAGTGCTTCAATTCATGACCCCAGTGTTATAGGAATAACTGGAATGAGTACATTTGAACTCAGCACTAAGTTCCAACAGCCCTGGTCAGTTCAAGTTTCCCCTCTGTGTGAGTCCATTCCCCTGCAACAAAAATTAAAATTGGATCTGTCAGAAATGAGGACAGATCTTCGAAATCCAGATGCTGATTCCCACACATGCCCCCACTGCCATTTTTAAAGGCTCACAAATTCTTCCTGACTCCCCGAAATTCTGGCGCACCGGGCACACAGATTTTGTGAAAATTGCTCTGTGTATGGAAGTGAATGTCACATAGATGTGTGCAGAACGTCTGTCACACAAACATGCCATTCAGTCCCATTGGTTTGTGCAAATGTTTATGCTCCACTGAGTCTCCTCATCTCGCCTTATCATAATGACCTTTAACATGTCTCTCGTATTTATCTCCCTTCTCGTTAAATACACACTGATGCTCGTCACCTTCTCGAGTCATACAACACAAAAACAGACCCTTCGGTCCAACCAGTCCATGCTGACCTCGAACCCAACCTAAACTAATCCCACCTGTCAGCATTTGGCTCATATCACTCCAAACCTTTCCTGTTCATGCACTTATCCAAATGCCTTTTAAACATTGTAACTGTACCTGCATCCACCACTTCCTCTGGAAGTTTATTCCACACATGAACCACTCTCTGGGTAAAAAAAAAGTCACCCCTCATGGCCTTTTTAAATCTTTCTCCTCTCACCTTAAAAATATCCCCTCTAGCTTTGAACCAGAGGCCGCCCACCCCCCTCCCCCCAACCAGGGAAAAAACCCTTGCTTCTCACCTTATCTAAGGCCCTCATGATTTTATAAATCTCTATTAAGGTCACCTTTCAACCTCCTACACTCCATTGAAAAAGTGCCAGCCTATCCAGCCTCTCCTTATAACTGAAACCCTCCATTCCCGACAACATCGTGCTAAATCTTTTCTGAACCCTCTCCAGCCTAATAATATCCTTCCTAGAACAGAGTGACCAAAAATGGACACAGTACTCCAGAAGAGGCCTCACCAATGTCCTGTACAACTTCAACATAATGTCCCACTCCTGTACTCAAAGGTCTGAGCAATGAAGGCAAGCATACTAAATGCCTTCTTAACCACCCAATGTATATGTGACGCAAACTTCAAAGATTTATGTACCTGAACCCCTAGGTCTCTCTGTTCTACAACACTACCCAAGGCCCTACTACCTTGTTGTACACTTTGGGTGTTGGTGTGACAGAGGGGTGAAGCCTTATGGCATCTTGGTTTCAATAAGATTGTCTGCCACCGACGTCTCGCTTATCTGACAGCAATGTGAGGGGAGAAGAGGGGGACAGAAAGGAAGTAGAATGAACGACTGAACATGTCTCCTCTCGGGAAATTTGTTCCTGGCTTTCTAGAAATCCAGTCCGGCATCGAAGGCTTCAACTGCAGTTTCGGGGACTCGCGTGACAACGAACTCTGTGGATGGACGCACGACCCATCGGCTGCGTTTAAGTGGACGGTCCATTCTGGGAGCTCCAAGTTCGAAGATGTTGGGCTGAACCAGGACCACAGTACAGGTCAGCCAACACAGCGTGATGTTAAACCCTGGCACTGGCGACCTCCCCCTGCAGTTCCAGTCTCCCCCCTGTAGGAGGCACAGCTCACTGACTCCAGTTTGCTCAGTTTTCCGTTTGTGGACGCCGGTTCTGCCGGCCTCTGTTACCCTCCGACCTTACGTTGTTGAAGTGAGCGATGATTAAAAATGGACTGGAAGTCTGCCTGAATTATCGCTCCCAAGTCCAGCGGGACTGAGGCCAAACTTACCCGACTCAGCCATAGGCTAACAAGTTGAATCTGAGGCCATCTCATTGACTCATCAAAACTATTGTGCCCCTCCAATTCTGGGCTCTGACGGCTGTGGACTCAGATTGGCAGCTGTGGCATTAGCAGTCCAGGCCTGAAATTCTGGAATTCCCTCCCCGATCCTCTCTGCCTCCTTTAACGCCCGACTTAAAAAAAACTTACCTCCTTGACTAAGCTTCTGGGTCACCTGCCCTAACCCCTCTTTATGTTGCTCGGTGTCAAAACTTCCTTCGATTACACTCCCACAAAGTGTCTTGGTATGTCTTGGGTGGCACAGTGCGCTCAGTGGTTAGCACTGCTGCCTCACACTGCCAGGGACTTGGGTCTGATTCCACCCTTGGGCGACTATCTGTGTGGAGTTTGTACATTCTCCCCGTGTCTGTGTAGGTTTCCTCTGGGTGCTCTGGTTTCGTCCCACAGTCCAAAGATGTGCAGGTGAGGTGGATTGGCAGTGCTAAATTGCCCATAGCGTCCAGGCTAGGTGGATTAGCCATGGGAAATGCAGGGTTACGGAGATATGGTGGGATGCTCTTCAGAGAGCTGGCATGAACCCAATGGGCCGAATGGCCTTTTCCCACACTGTAGGAAGTCTACAATGATGATCTTACAATGCAGAAGGCGCCACATGACTGGAAGTTATCTTGCGCCTTGAGCAATTTTTTTTATCTTTATAATAGTGATACTTACCCTTTTAGAGACAGCTGGGGCTCAAACCACAAGGTGTGAATATCTACCATATCCCACACTCCAAGCTGACATCGGGTGGGGAAGGTATGAAGCAAAGGTTAGGGACCTGTACACATAGTTTTACAAATCAGACAGCCATTGCCTGCAGGGGCCGATAGCTTTTTCAGTAATGATACCGAGCAGCTCCTGACACCACAGGGAGCACAGGAGGAAGAACCTAAATAAAGATTTGTTTAATATGTATGCAAAATACACACACGAATGCGAAGAGCATAAAACTATATCACACAAAATGTGCAAGTGAGGCTCTTTGGCGGTCATACAGTCTCCAAAGTACGGCGCCATGATGATGGGTGAGCTGGGTCGTGCCTGAGTGGGCGGGGCAGTTACAGGCATGTGACTAAAAGCTCCAGAAATATGTCCAATCAGAGTTGGCATCCCCTCGGACAAATGGCTCACCCCACTGGTGTGTTTTCTCTCATCTGATTGGTTGACTCAACTTGGCTTGATGTTTCTGGAGGCTTAAGAGAGGAGGGAGAGAGAGAGCACTGGGTCCAAGTGACATTGATCGGACTCAACCCCGGATAGAGCGTCTATTCGCAGGAACCCTTTATGTCTGTCCATTTTTTTAGGCAAACAGAATTACCTGCACATTGAAGCCACCAAGATCGCTGAAGGACAGCGTGCCAGGCTGCTTAGTCCCATGGTGCCACCCATCAACAGCCACCGTTGCATGGTGTTCTGGTACCGGATGCGTGGTGCCAATGTTGGTACCTTACGGGTGCTGCTGAGGAAGAAGACCAACGATGTGATGCTGTGGTCACTGAGGGGAGATCAGGGGGACAAGTGGAAAGAGGGCAAGATCATCCTTCCAGGATACAACGTTGATTATCAGGTAACTCGCTGCCTACGTTGCAGCTGCAGAGCAACAGCGGTTCCTTTTTGCTTGCAGACTGGGCGTTTTCCTCTCTCTCTCTCTCTCTCTCTGATGTGGCCTTCTCCTGTCTCTCCCTCTGTGCCTAGGTCATAATCGAAGGCATCGCAGGAATTGATGTGAGTGAGGACCTGGCGGTTGATGATATCGCCATAGCGTCGCACATGTCTCTTGACCAATGTATACGTAAGTACCAAGCCCTTGCTGTGAGGTGTTTGGTGGAATGAGATGTGCAGTTAGGTTGAAGCGAAGCCGAGAAAATGTTTGCAAGATTCAAAGAGTATGAGATGCAAGCTAACTTGTTCCTCCACTCGTGGCGGGGTTGGGGGGAGGGGTGGGGGGCGGCGGGGGCGTTGTGTATGAACTAGGTCCAACACATTCTTCTTTACGCTCCCTGTCCTTGCACCAGCTTTCGGAGATTATTCCCTGGAGCTCGGCACCATCAAATCAAATGGCCAGCTGTCTCACACATCGTCTTTTGTCTTCCCTTCATCTCCATGCGATGGTGATCATGTGTGATCTTTGGGGAGAGGGTGACGTAGCAGTGCAGAACTCTGGGTGGCGCTGGGTTGACCTGAATGGCATTAGATGTGTGCAAGCCAGAGAATAGATTGCAGGGACTCCTACATGGGATGGCATGGTGGCTCAGTGGTTAGCACTGCTGCCTCACAGCACCAGGGACCTGGATTTGATTCCACTCCTCAGGCAACTGTCTGTGTGGAGTTTGCATATCCTCCCCGTATCTGCGTGGGCTTCCTGCCACAGCTGAGGTGGATTGGTCGTGGGGATAGGGTGGAATGAGATTCAGTGCAGGCTGGATGGGCCAAATGGCCTCTTTCCACAGTGAAGGGATTCTACAAGTGCCTCTCCATGCCACATATGATCCTGACTTGAGCCATATTGCCATTTTTTTTCACTGTGACTGCGGAAAATGCCCTACTTATTTTTTTTTGGCATTACAGGTGTATCTCCAACTGCCCACACCCCATAAACACACCCCTACCCGTGGACCCTGAGTGGTTCAAACTACCTTCAGTTAGGGACAGGCAATAAATACAGGCCTATCCGACAATTAACACAACTTGCGAGCAAATCAGGAAAATCTGTTCAGTCGGTATTTCACAGTAAAAAAGAGAGAGTGACTTCAGGACATCTGAAGAACTCCACATTTATTAAAATGGGTTTGTGTAAATTCACAGGTCTATGTTGTAAGAAACAGACCGGTCCTTCAGACACTGCAAGATCCCAGAAAGAGCGTAATGACCACATGGTCCATTTTTTGTATTGATATTAGTTGAAGGGTGAAGATTGTCAGGGAAATTGGTTGATGACTCCCTCAACTCTGACCCTCTGACAGTGCAGCACTCCCTCAGTACTGACCCTCTGACAGTGCAGCGCTCCCTCAGCACTGACCCCCTCACAGTGCAGCGCTCCTTCAATACTGACTCTCTGATAGTGCAGCACTCCCTCAGTACTGACCCTCTGACAGTGCAGCGCTCCTTCAATACTGACCCTCTGACAGTGCAGCAGTCCCTCAGTACTGACCCACTGATAGTGCAGCACTTCCTCAGTACTGACCCACCGACAGTGCAGCGCTCCCTCAGTACTGACCCTCTGACAGTGCAGCGCT